GTGTGATCTAGCCAAAGATTACAGCACTTACTCTTGAACCACGGCTTCCCCATTCTCAAATCTTTAGGGTGTCGTATATCTTAAGCTAATATCCTTAACAAACAGGTAAAAATAACTGGGTTCTAGTCTCTCGACAAATTATGGGACAGTCCCTTAATAAATAGTAGGACATGGCTAGCCTTAGTATACCGAAAGGTGGCTATAAGTACCATATGGATTTAATCTACTTTTCTCTCTAAGTGAACTCTCGCCAAACAATTATGTAATCTGCAATACTTACTCGTTTCATAAATAAATGACTTATTAATTTACAAGTATGATCTAACCCATGTGAGCATCTATAATATTTTCATAATCACTCTTTTTTCAAAAACTCACATGCATAATCTCCACATCACACATCTGTTAAGTCAACTTATAAATTCACATTTTTCACATCACAATATCATCACATCACTCATCAACTTTTCATTCCAATACAAAATCACAAGGTAGAACTTTTCAAGTTCAAATTCATCATTATAGCCAAAGTAGGTTTGGTAAAGCCTTACAGGATTTTTTGCAAAACAACAACCATAATATTCAACCATTCAAATTAATTTATCCATTTTTTGAAGACACAAATAAATTATCATACAACTACACATATCAGATTTCTCTTGGTTACCTCAAATTTTTAAGAAGTCAAATGTTTATCTTTCAATAACTTACTTCTAAGCTTGCTTTCCAAGTCAAATATGGTGCCTTAATGATTAATCCACAATTAATCAAGTCAAACTTATCAACATTGCCAAACATACACTTCTAAATTTCATTTTTCATCTATAAAATACCTAAAGCCCTTATTTTTCACATTTAGGCATATCCATTGAGTGTATTAACTTCTATCAATTCCTAACTAATAATTATTAATCTCACATAAGGTCATTAATACCTTAACAACCCTCATAACTTAAATATAATGCCTTATTTTTGGACATTAATGAAGTTGCACCAAAAACATGTAAAACCCTCAATTATTTAGTTAAGTATCTCAAACAATTTTCATTAACTCTATTTAAATTAATGGATTCGGATCCATAACTTATATGAATTGACAATTCTCTCTCATTATCAAACCTTAATAAAAAAATTTAAGAAAATAGGTTGGAAAGGGAGAAGAAGAGATTAGAAGACTTACTTTTAGGGTTTGTTAATTTCAAAATGCCTCTAACCTTCTTAAAATTGAAGCCCTAGTAGAGCAAATGTGAGCTCTTTCATCTTTTTTTAAGTTCCCTTTCTTAATTTTTGAACTGATACTGTCCCTTTTCTATAGAAATTTGGTTGTATGATGTGACGTGTGGCACAAAGGGCCTTACCCACGCCTTTCTGTGACCATGCATTGTGGCGGACACTTCCTACGCTGCAGCAAATGGTGGATAGAGACTCTTCCTCTCTTCTTTAGCCTATTACGCCATGACATGTGGTATAGAACCACATACCTCCATTTTCTCTTTCTGTTAAGCCTACTTGGCCTATACTCAGTCTCAAACCCCTATCCCAAGGTCATTACCAAGCCGAAATGGTCCCTTTATCCTTTTTAATCATTCTCTACTTTGAATTCACTTAATTAAACTTGATTGTATCATTAATTAATCAAGGATAAAAATTTAGGATGTTATATAATTTCTTGACCAATTATCACATTATCACTTCCCTGTCTTTCTGTTACAAAACTATATTACTCAATCCTAATCAAGTAATTAAGCATAGGGCATGATCTATTGGTGATGATTTTAGTAATTATCTTGAAGCTTATATTGCACAATGATATAGGCCTTAACTCTTTAAGAGTAGTAGGGTGATCCACTTTAGGTAACAAGATGATATTAGTCTGATTTAGTTCTTGAATTTTCTTGGGTGAAAGAAAGATTATTTTAACAACTTTGCAAATTTTTCCACCAACCGTCTCCCATTTAGATTAGAAGAATTGAGCTTGTAGACCATCATGACCTAGAGCTTTGAAGGCCCCCATGGAGAAAGCTCTTTATCTCAATGTCATCCACATCTTTATGGATAAACAACCTATTGGCTTTAATATACAAGCCTTTAAAAAAATCCTTTGCCATGCTCTTCAGTCGATCTTGGTCTTTGACCCATTCATTTTCCTCATTTTTGAGAGTGAGAATTTTCTTTTTCTTTCTTTTGAGAACAGTAATGGCATGAAAGAACTTTATATTCTTGTCTCCCTACTTTAACTAACTACATCTAGCGCTTTTAATACCAAAACAACTCTTTTAGTTGACAAATTTTATAGTATTGATCCCATACTTTTTTCTCCAATCTAAATAGCCCGTTACTCCTATCATTCTCCCGAGCCCAATCAATACCTTCAATTCTTCTAATCAACTCCTTCTTTTTGCTTAGTAAAGTTTTGAGTCTTATTGATATCCCATTTTGTTACCTCATTTCTAAACCAAGCTTGACTTGAATCCCACTCCTTGTCCTTCCAAGATTCAGAAATAATGTCACCAACATCGTCTTCTAAAGCCCAAGACGCCTTATAGATGATTGGTTTAGTCTTGCTAGGAGTCAATGGTTTAGTCTTATATGAGATAATGAGTACCCGATGATCAAACTTAAGGCAAAGATTATGAGAGTTTCTAGAATTAGGATACTTAATCGAGTAACTAAAGTTAGTAAAAGCCCAATCAAGCTTCTCTAGAACCCTCAATTTTTCCTTAGTGAAAGGATCCCTCCCAACATAAATTTTAATTAAACCTGTCATCTGAACGCATTCACTGAATTAGTCCATACCGTTAAAATTTAGTCTATAACCACCCAATTTATCATTTGGTGAAAAGAAATGTAGTAAACTACCAAGAACTACTCAATCACCATTTATAGACTGATCTCCAAATCATCCTACAAAGGCTTTCGTTTCAAATGATAAGTCTTAGCATAAATGAAAGTAAAATATCTTGAAAGGTTCATAGAGTTTTTGGTTATTTGGCAGTGAATCAATTGTTCATTAGAAAGAATGTAATTAACTTCCACATCTTGACCATTCCAGGGAATCAAAATTTCCCCAGTAAAACCTGAGGCTTCTACTTGAATCCAATCATCAAAACCCAGCTTATGAACCACTTTATCAACTCTAGTACCACTGATTTGAGTTTCAACTAGGCATAACACATCAATTTTATTCTTACACATAATATCCCTAACCATACTGGAAATCCACAACTACCAGCACCGCGACAATTCTAAGAGGCAACAATCATCAAAACAATTAATGAAAGAGTGACAATCGATGAGAACAAAAAATTACCCGTGTCTGACGACCTCTTGGTCCCAAAGTGGTTGCGCTATTGGTTCATCATCTTCAAAAATGACGCTTGCACTTGGTTCAGCACCCAGGAAAGGAATTATGGCCAAAGAAAGATTTGGTGGCTTCGGATTGAGAAGGGTATGCAACTGCCTGCCATTCCCAGGACAGGGTCATGATTCCATCACGTGAGTTTCTTGCATTGAGTTTGGGTGAGAGGTTTGTAATCGATCACTTCTTTTCTGCACTCTCTAAGTCTCTTATTCTTTGTACTTGTCAAGCGGATTGTAATTCTGCCTACTCATACACGCCATTCAAGATTCTACATCATCTCAACCGCTGCAAACTAAACTTGTATATTGATCCAAATACAATGGGACTGGCAATTGAATCAACCATGGTGAAAAGAAGGCCTATTTCATAAACTTGAAGTCTGATAATTACTAGTCCTCTTCAGCCAAACGGTGATCAAAGACTTGTGTTTCTCTTTCTTCTTCTGCTGACATTGCGTTGGCTTAACAAATTTGCTGATCATTTTCATTAAAATTTAGATTTCTGACCAATCCGCTTCTTAACCTCCTGCTGCGGCTTGTTGTAATTTGACCGCAATAACGATAAATTATTCGCACTTTGATAAAACATTAAGATAAGATGGTTCAATTAAAAAGGAAATGACTGACACTAACCGTGCGACATTTTTGGGCATTTTACTCTCTTTCTCATGCTAAGAAAATAGATCAGTGTTTGTCTCAAAAGAGTAATGCTCATCTCAATTTAACAATGCAAAAAATAATTACGATGGCATATAAAATCTATAATATGCCATGCTGTATTCATAAGTTATATATAATGTAATCCATATTAATTTGCGTGATGCACAGAAATGTGTTTAGTTCAATTTAATCTGTTTTAATAACATTTCCTCTATCAAAATGTTTTCTCGTATCAAATCAAGATATTCTTCTAATAAGTTTGATTATACTGGTAAGGAAACTGAGAACGTCCTTGCGCATTTTCTGTGCTTTTTTTTTTTCCTAAAAAAGAAAAAAACTCAATCTCAGCTATTTTGAATTTATATTATAAAGCACGATATCATAATTTAAGTTGTGTCACTTTGTTAATGCCTAAACGGTATGTAAATTGCTTTTTAGAACTTGGTACATAAGATGTGGATGCGCATGAAATTCTTTTTTCGGCCCGGATCATCTTCTAACTTCCAATTTAACTAAAATAACCGTTTTATATTGACGAACCTGATCATTTATAGATTGTGTAAATAATATCTTGATGATTTCTTTCTAATTCAAATACATCCTCTGGATTAATTTTTGAGAAGGTAAAATTTCACTTCGGATCGTTACACAAAATATGCCTTTTCTTAAACTCTAGTCCTCATGTGTTGGGGGCTCAATTGCAAGGCGCTCGACATACGTCAAAGTGTGAAGGACACTCTCTGTCTCATTTGCCATGAACCAATATGTAATTTTTTAAGTCTTGTTTTGTCTGGTGAAGGGCGAGAGTGGCTGAGATTGGCTTTTGCTCCCATTTTCTTTCACCCTTCTACTCTTTCTGACAATCTCTGTCGTATCTGTTTCTGACGGCTGTGCCTCTCTCTCTCGGTTGCATCACAGCCACACTCACACTCTTCCTTAGCATCCGTCTTGTGGCTCTGTATCTCCAGCAAAGGTTTCTATTCTTTTCCCCCTTTTCACTCTTTATATCTCGATTCACAAACCCATCTCCCAGCTTTACATTTCAAGCTTAGTAAAGCTCCGTCCCCTGTTACAACTTCATACTGCAGATATATACTATTAATGTTCTCTCTTGTTTCTTTAATCCCCGATTCCTTTATCTGATTCTTTTTCATTCTGCTTTACATCTGATTCTTTGGGACCCAGCTAAGGGCACGGTGAGATTCCAGCATCTGCCACAAGTTTCTTTTTACGCTGAAACAATTGATTTGCGAATGCCATCGATAATATGATTCCTGATACTCCATATGTGTTGTGACTTTAGTCGCTGCATTGGTAAACATCATATGCTAGCTATGTATCTGGATCTTGAATCTGAGAATACGAAATTTTGATGTCAGGTCTCCATATCCGATTTGTTTTATTTTTCTGCTGACCATCACTGAACTTGCATGTTCCATTGTTTATTGCCACTCTTGGAATGCTAAGAAATCTTTTTTCTTGAATTTATCTTGTTTTGTGTGCCAGTAAAATAACGGGTGCTTGTCTTTAGTTATGCGACTTTTTTTAAAAATTTTTTAAAAAATATTTCTTCTAAATGGAAAGGAAGTGTTCGTTTCGAAGCACGTAAAAATGATATGGTTTGCTCTTCCTGAGGAATTGAATGTTAGGCTATCTGTCACTGTTTTCTTTCCTAATCTTTAACGCAAGAAGCGAAGATATAGAGTCATTTTCTTTCGCCCGTCATAATTTGAACTAAAAATTACTCCTATTCACTTTTAAAAGCTTAGCTGATGATAGAATAAAATGGCATTGTACAATTCATGGAACTGACGTCACTTAGTGGAATAAATCTTGTTGCTGCTATTGTTGTGTGGTACATTTCTTCAATGCGTGTGTCATACTCTGAAACCTTAGGCGGACCATGGGCATGTATATAGGTCCAGGGTATGTTAATCATTTAGTGATTAAATTTTGTATGAAATATAATTAAATTGAATGAAATACCTCCTTAGACTTGCACCTTTCCATTTTTTATGAGTCAGTGTTCCTGTGATTCTCACAAAACATCCGTTGGATGTGGATATTGCAGTGCTTCTGTCAAGCAGAATTTGTAAAATGCTATAACAGCTTTCCATCTATACCATTTAACGAAATGGTGAACTGTAACTGTTGCATATATGAAATTTTGTCTCTTGAGATGTTCTAAGCCTCTGGGTCATAGCAATCATCAGGTGGTGATTGCAATAAACATATAGCTCATAGCGTTAGCCAATAAGGCATGACTGTCAATAGACCACATAATTTGGTTTCACATTTCTGAGTAGCTAAAATCCCTTTTAGATGAAAAGAATATGACCTGGGCTGTCTACTTGAGACAGTTGATGTTTTCTTATCTTACCCTTCAGAAGTTTGTAACCTCCGAATGCAGAAAGGCGAACTTATATGAATAAATTTTATAGGTATTTACATGAGTTTTCTCTACAGCATGTCTGTGAAATAATTGTAAATGCTTTAGTTGTTATATGCTGGATTTTTGGTCTGGCAAGTTTATTGTGTAATTTTTCAGATTTTTATTTTCATTTTTTTTTGGCAGTCATTTAATATATCAAGTTAATTTAGGTATTTCAATTGGTGTGAAAATGTCGTTGGAAACTATGATTCTGTTCATCAATTCGTTATACATCCATAATCTGAGATCTCAAACACATGACTGGGTCGAGCAGTTCCATTCTGCTGTTGCCATTGTGTTACTCTTAAGTTGCTTCAATGTATTGCTCCTGGGTTCAGTTTCTTGATGGTTGAAGAACAAAAGAATACAGAGTAGATTTGAGCCACAAAAACAGTATCAATTAATTTAACATTGATTCTGTAAGGAATATAGATGTATTGAGTTGTTGGCTTAGAATCTTACCATACTTTAGATGCTCATTTAATCCATCTCCCAGCTGCCTGAGGGAAATTTTTTTATTTGCCGGCCTCTCCATTACTGGATTTTCATTGGGTTGAATGAATTGTAATATTATTAATGTCAGAATCCACATTCTTAGTTTGCTCAATATGGTTTCTCAAGGAGCCTAAATTTATCGTATGGTAATTTGAATTCATATTATTGCACTGTTTCAATTCTGTTTTTCCTCTTTATTTTGCAGATGGGGGACGTGGCTAAGGACCTCACTGCAGGAACTGTTGGAGGGGCAGCACAATTGATATGCGGACACCCATTTGACACCATCAAAGTCAAGCTCCAAAGCCAGCCTGCACCAGCCCCTGGCCAACCTCTCAAGTATGCTGGCGCCATTGATGCGGTCAAGCAAACACTAGCAGCTGAAGGCCCAAGGGGTCTGTACAAAGGCATGGGCGCTCCACTTGCAACAGTGGCAGCTTTCAATGCTGTCCTATTCACAGTAAGGGGACAGATGGAGGCATTATTGAGATCACATCCTGGTGCCCCTCTTACAGTGAACCAGCAGGTTGTTTGTGGAGCTGGGGCTGGAGTCGCCGTTTCCTTTCTAGCTTGCCCCACTGAGCTAATCAAATGCAGGTCATTCTTTCTGTTGTTTTTGTCCTGCCCCTTTTAACTTGGTTTTCTGTGTTTGATTTCCTTTTAGTTAATTTCTATGTTGATATAGCTTATAATTTTGAACGACTTCTGGTATTTTACTTCTTCTGTAACTTCTATGAGAGCTTCGCTATGATTACTTATGCACTCTTCCAAGTTTATATGCATGTATATATATCATGTATAGTGTTGTTTAGTTCTTATGTTACATGAACTATAAAGGGCCTTACCACACTTGATTCTGCCTGTAACTGTTGACTGAAAGAGAGGAATGACTCATGAGAGCAAGCTGAATTTCAGCTTAAAATTTGTAGTCTGGATTAACTTTCTCTGACTTATTGTTATTGTTGATACATGAGTGCTGAAGTATATAGTGATCTCTTAGTTAAAAGTTCGTTGCCTGATGGTATCAGGCTGCAAGCGCAAAGTGCGCTGGCAGGTTCTGGAACAGCTACGGTAGCTGTGAAGTATGGAGGCCCCATGGATGTGGCCCGGCATGTTCTCAGGTCAGAAGGGGGCGCGAAAGGTCTTTTTAAGGGCTTGGTTCCGACAATGGCTCGTGAAATACCTGGAAACGCTGCAATGTTTGGTGTATATGAAGCAGTAAAGCAGTTAATTGCTGGAGGCCAGGATACCTCTGGACTTGGTAGAGGTTCTTTGATAGTTGCTGGAGGCTTGGCAGGAGCTTCCTTCTGGTTCATGGTGTACCCGACTGATGTTGTAAAGAGTGTGATTCAGGTTGATGATTACAAAAATCCCAAGTATTCTGGTTCATGGGATGCCTTTAGAAAGATTAAAGCTTCAGAGGGATTTAAAGGCCTTTACAAGGGTTTCGGTCCTGCAATGGCGCGAAGCGTTCCTGCAAATGCAGCTTGCTTCTTAGCGTATGAGGTGACAAGATCAGCTCTGGGGTGATATGTTCTCATGTTAATGCGTTGTGAGGCTATCATTTGAGTGTCCAAGGCTCCCATTTTCTCTTAAATCTGGCCCCAAAAAGGCAAGTGACATGTTTTATGTTCATTGCAATACAGCCATACCCGTTCATCTTCTGTCATTTCTTCAATCTTCGAGGAATCATCATTCTTTTATCAGTAGTAATATATACTTTTAGCCCCACACTCCGTTCTTTGTTCATGCTTAGAATTTTATAGGCGATTGTTTGATCTGTCAGGGCCAGATACAGTGAACATCTTACTGAAAAAGCAGTGAAATATGAAATCTGAAGTGACAAGATTCTGATGCAGATGCTGATTCATTGGCATATTTCATTTCAAAGACTGATAAATAGTTTTGAATTCCGGTAAAGACAATGAATGACCATAATTATTCCGGTAAAGACACAAGTACAATACATGATCAAAAATAAAACTTAAAAAAGACGGGTGTTTGCCACGCAGATCAACAAACTGGTTCATGACCAATAAGGGGTCCTCAGATTGCTGCAAACGAGGGATTGTGTCATTACGGAGGATGAAGCTTGATATAATTTCAAGGCCATCTTCTGAATCATTCCATTCTGATAAGGACACAGTACAATCTCAGTGCTTCCAATGGAAGAAACCACACTCCCATCTCACTCTTCCAGCACCTCATTCATGGATTAAGTGAAAAGACAGAGTTATGGCCAGTGATGGCACCAACACCTCCCCAGTGAATAGAAGAGACATAGTTATGACACCAGTTATAACATAGGTTGTTTGGAGTCCGAAAAAAGAAATAAATAAATAATAGAAGATAAAAGACATAGTTATGACGTTAGATTTGATGCTGTGCTTGGCATAGGATTGCATGAACTCAGGTATCGTAACTATCATTGAAGCTAATGAATAGAAGGTTGTCAATGAACGTAATGAGTGATGATTTTAGCTTTTGCCTGGAGATCGATTCAAGTAGAATTTTTTTTTTATTGAACTATATATAAAATTTATTTTTTATGGATTAAAAATGTAATTGAGCAAAGATTAATAATATAATTTTTTTTATCCAAGGTAATATGTTATTTCATATAGGTTTGTATACAACTTTTTTTTAATATTTATTATTTTTTATAAATAAATAAAACTCAAGCTGACCCAATTAAATCCATCTCAATCAAAGACACGACCAAATACTGAGCCCACTGAGCCCATAAAACAGACTCAGTATCAAACTGATGCCCGATCGTTGAGACGGCCAACTGAATGTTTATTTCACATATCATTTTCAATTCATGACAGATATTAAAAAAAATGGTGAATAAAAAGGTAATTTACTAAAAGAAAAGGGTAGGTGTGTGCCACGTAATTAACAAACTAGCGGTTGACCAGTAAGGTGTCCTCAGACGGATCCAAAAAAAACGAAGGAAAGTGTAACTGCAGAGGATGGAACACGTAGTTGTCTTTTTTGAATCTTCTCATTCTCATCAGCAATGCTACAATTCCAAACCTATTTTCTGAATTATAATAACCTCATTCTCATCTCAACACAATACACTCAACAATGCAAAAGCTTGTAATGGAAGAAGCCACACTTCCATCTAACTCTTCCCTGCCTCTCGTCTCTAGGTTAGATCATTTGGAGTTCATTGTGAGCTTCTCTCTCGATCCCATTCCTTATTTCTGCATACATCCTATGAATTTCTCTCCGCTTTCGACATCAATACGCCATTGATTCTTTTGTTGCAATTGCAGATCAAATATTTAGAAAGGAAACAGAGAGGGGGAAGCAATGCATATGCTGAGAAACAAAGCGTGCCTCTGGATTTTACTGCAAAGCAGAGTTACTATAAAGACACGTTATTGCTGGATCGGGTGGCTTCCCTTGAACAGAGACTTTTCCAGGTGAGAGTAAATCGGGAGAAAAAAAATAAAAAACTCAGATATGAATCAATATATTGAGAAGCTAATGAGAAGAAGATTGTTATTGGGATGTGATGATTTTAGCTATGCATGGAGATGGATTCAAGTAGCAGCTCGTACCTGATGTCCCTGGCTTCAACACAAACCTCAGGCGAGTCTTCGTCCAGCCAGAGCACCAAGACTGAAATTTTCTACTCTTTCCCTACATTCACCATTCCTCACGACAGAGATAGTTCCCACACCCATCTCAACACACTCGATCCTTTACAGGTAACTTTATCTGAACCATCATCTATAAGCTTCATTCAGTCATTCATTCTTTTACAAAGGTATTAACTGATGTGTTGGGAATGATTTGGAAAATGAAGAATATAAGGGTGCAGCAGGAAAAGACAAGGAGAGAGAAGCAGCATGAGATGAAAAATGAGAGTGCTGCTAAGCAGAAAGAGGAGAAGAGGAAAAGCAAAGGTGGAAAGAAACGATCAGTGCCGCCTTCTACTTGGCTACATTTCAAGCTTTTAGGCTGCTAAGTCATTATTTCCTCTCAGCACATTCCTGCTACGTACCTCTTTTCCCATTTCTTCTTGCCTTTACTAATTGCTGGACATTACTGATACATGATGCAAGTACGGGTCTTCTGATTTTATCATGAGATTTCTGATTATCCAAAGCTTTGGACATTTATGCGCTTTAAAATGGTTTGTTCCCTTTATTTTTAGATCAGTTACTTGAGACAGTTGAAATTATGTTCATCCATTACTCTTTTTTGATATTGGGTGTTTCCTTGCTTTCTTTCTGTATGCCCGGTGATTCCACTAATCTAACTCCGTTTAATTTGACTGAAAAAATATGAATACGAGGACATGAATCGCAATTTCTTTCTAATACCAAGTTTAATACCAAACTCAGCTTCATCTATCTATGTGCAACACCAATTCTCTTTTATTAAGTTATGTTGGAGGCTCTGGAGCCTATATAATCCTTACATGCCATTTGGTATTTCAAAATCCGGTGACTTAGGTCACAAAGACACGGGAGTACCCAATACAATACGGCATGATATGAGGATACAACAAATTTTTAAAATTTTAGGATATGGTATGGAGATATTTATAATAGATATTTCAGCATTTTATGTCATCAGTATAGGTATTTTAATTTTTAAACAAGAATTTTTAAGGTAATATAAGGATTTTTATAGTAATCAACTAAAATATTAAATGTTTTTTTTAAGTTTTCAATTGACGAAAAAAAATTATTGAAAAAAAATTATATCACAAATGTTAGAATATGAAATACGTATGCAAAAGTATTCTACAAATATTACATCGGATATGGATATATTTACTTTTTTGAAGCATACGTGCTTCATAGCTATTGACATACTATACTGAACACTTTTGTTTACTCCTCAAAATTCAAGACCTTTAAGTTTTCTAAATAATTAAAATTTGCATCCATGCATTATAGCTAGAGTTGATAATATGGAAGTCCACAACAGATTGCAAGTTTCACGATACAAGCTGGCATAACTTACATCTTCGTGGGTTATATTTCTAACAACCTACTAACTTGCAATGGGTTTACAAACTAACTCACAAGTAAAACACTTTTTTGAATTTTAAAAATTACACATTCAAATTTTTATTTTTGGCTAATAAAAAATCATATTTTTCTTTTAAAAAATAATTATCTCAATAACAATAAAATTCCTTTTAAATCATTAAAAAAGACAATACAAATTTAAAATATATTAATACATCTATAATAAAAGAAAAAGAAAAATTTTGTTTATGTATTATTTATATCAAAATTTTCAACGATTCTCCAATTTAATATTTCATAAAATTTATAAAAATATATAAATTAAATTAAAGTTTTAAAATTTTATCTGAATAATTTAAAACTATAATAAAAATGTGAAAAAATAAAATCGCTTTATAAAATATTTTAATAATAGTTTACAGTTTTAATTAAATTAGATAGATCAATTTTTAAGTTGGCAAAAAAAAAAGGATATATAGATCAAATTTCAACAGTTTAAATTTAATTATATATTTTAATTGAAATTATAATAGTAATGTTATAAAATATTAAATCATAAAAGAAGAAATTTTATTTGATAGAATAGAAAGAAACATAATTAATCTATCTTATAAAGTATTAGATCCCCGGCCACTCGTAACACATGCATGACACTGTGTGGAGGAGATGAAGTAAACACCGAAACCCCCAACCTACTGATTAGAGCTGTCAATTAGGGCCAGCCCGGCCCTAAAGGGCCGGCCCTTGAAGGGTCAGGGCCTAAACGGGCTGGCCCTAATAAGCCCGATTACATGTCAGGGTTTCATTTTTTAAGGCCCGGCCCTAGCCCTCAGGGCTAAAGGGCCGGCCCTCAGGGCCTCGGCCCTATTTTTTTAAAATTATTTTTTCAATTAAAAATTATAAAATATATATTTATAATTATAAAAAAAGTTATTATTCATAAAATTAAGTTTAAGAAAATAAATTTAAATTAATTTACACCACAACAATAAAGAAAACTAAAATATTTAGGTCTAATATCAAATAGCAACATCAAAGTGAATACCAATAAAAATTAAACTTAACTAATATTATCATAATAAATAAATAAGGGATGAATGAATGCATTTAATATGTTCATTTCTTTGAATTATGTATTTAATCTTTTATTTTTTTTTATATTATAATTTAAAAAAAATTATAAACGGGCCTAAAAGGGCCGGCCCTGGCCCTAAAGGGCCGGCCCTTTTATTTTCGGATTTACATTTTTAAAGATAAAATGGAAGCCCGGCCCTCAATTTTTTCGGGCCTAAAAGGGCCGGCCCTATGGGCTCGGCCCTAATTGACGGCTCTACTACTGATCCTCAATGCCTAACACATGAGTTTATTAATTATAATATTTGCTTGTCAAAAAATATTAAAATAAAAAAATTACGTGGACTAACGCACCAACCCAATTGGCTTACATCGAAATAAGTTGCATTTTTTTGTAGACTCAACTTGCACCTTTCTGCAGGGCTCAACTCACATTACCGGTATTAATTAATAATTATAGAGTTCATATAACATAGTCATATAATTAGTTACTCTTTTCGGACAAAACATAAGCTATTAAATAATTTTTATATTTATTTTTATAATTATATCCATATTTTATTTATTAATTTTTTTTTCAAAAAATATATTATAATTTTAATTATTATTATTAAGATATTTATATAAAATATTTAACGAATATATATAATTTAAAATATGCAAATTTGTTTTAAGAGAAAAAGATCGTCATCGAAAGTTTTTGAGAATAGTGAAATAACTATTATTATTTTATAGTAGTCCAAAGAAAATATATATTATTTATTAATTGTAATTATTACCGAGCCAGGATCCTTCCTCTCTCCAAGGTAAAAAAGGAAAAAAATAAATAAATAAATAAATAAAATAAAAAAGCCGTACATACTTTCTTCCAAAATGCCCCTGTTTATTCCTCAAAATCTCCTTTCCTCGTGAGCGCCATCGATCGCTTCTTCCTCGCTCTCTCTCCGGAAGCAATGGAGAAAGGCGAGAGCTTCACATCTAAGCTTGACTCCGAAATAAATAACCCGACCCAATACCACCTCACCGTCCCATCCGGCTTGACCAGCAACAAGTTCGAAGGGTTGAAGAGGTCAGCGACGGAGCACCAAACCTATATGGTGGGACCGGACCATTGCTCATCCTTGCTGGCGCAGCGAATCCATGCACTGCCGGAGACGGCGTGGTCAGTGGTGAGGCGTTTCGACAAGCCTCAGGCCTATAAGCAGTTCATCAAGAGCTGTGCGCTCAAAGAAGGATTTAGAATGACAGTTGGTTGCACCAGAGATGTGAATGTGCTTTCAGGTTTACCGGCAGCAACCAGTACCGAGAGGCTCGATATACTGGACGATGACCGGCACGTGACCGGTTTCAGTATCATCGGAGGCGAGCACCGGCTGAGGAATTACAGGTCGGTGACGACGGTGCACGGATTCGAGGATGACGGGAAGATCTGGACCGTTGTTGTGGAATCTTGCATGGTAGATGTACCGGAAGGCAACACGCTGCTCTTCGCCGATACCGTCGTGAAGCTCAACCTGCAGAAGTTGGCGTCCGTCACCGAAGGGATGAACCGTCACGGTGACGGTAGGTAGAGTCAAAGCTCAAAAATCAACTAAGATACAATCAGCAGGATTCACGAGCTCATCATGTTATTTCGATTTTTGTTCGTCTATTCCTGTACGCGATTTTTTTTTTTTGTCACATTATCGCGAACAATATACTCCTCCGTCTCAAAGTATAAAATATTTTTAAATAAAATTTTATATAATAATAAATTTTATTAACTACATTTAATAACTTTTTCAAACAAAAATATAAATTTTAAAAAATATTTATTATTTAATATATTAAAAAGAGAAGAAATAGTTGATTATAAAGAGAAAAAGGATAACATAAAAATTAATACATTTAATGAAACATTAATCTACTTAAAATGTTTTATATTTTGAGATGAAAAAATTCTTTTAAAAATACCTTATAATTTATGATGGAGGGAGTACATTATATCCTCTTCTTGCTTACTTTGCTTCTGGGATTTTACTGAGGTGTATTTGGAAAATGGGACTTCGAGAACTGTTAATCTGTTATTAATTACTTACTAGTTACTGGCTAGCGACGGTGAGGGTAATTCCGTCAATGCGGTGCACATGTTGACTTGTGGAGGAAGGGCCTTTTGTTTTTTATTAATTAAATGCGGACATGATTTTGAAACTTATTTTTTTCAATCTATATTTGCCATTTTTTCATGTAATGAAAGACGTTGTTTTATGAAGAATAGAGTGTTAGAAATATAAGATCAAAATGTTCGTTATATGTTTAAGATGAAAAATAATAAACAGTATTGTGTAATAATGATAGTAATATAATCGATAGAGATACATGCTTATTGTGTAAAAATGACGGCTAAACTAATTGTTAATAAACTTTGTAGTAACTCGATATTATATATATTTAAAAATAAGAATATATTAGATACAGTTAGTTGTATGATTGCATTAGCGTGATGAGCAGAGGGCTACGGAGATCTGAGTTGATATGATTTGGTTGCAGATTTGATGTGAATGTGATTGCTTACCTTTGTCATGTGCTTCTTTTGTAAACGCATTATATTATCCGTTAGTTATGAGATTAAGATGCTAATGTTATTCTGCATTGGTGAGACTATCGAGAACCTCATCGTCCAAACAAAGCGTAATGCAGAGTTGCGAGCAGGAGATCTGGAATCAATGCTCCATGCCTCTTGTGAAAAGGCCCTCTACATATTCTAATGCAAACCCACGAGCCCAGGGATTACGCTGTTAAAAAAGTTGAACAAAAGACGAGGAATCATTTCCAGAACAAACCTTTTGAATTAAAATATAATGTCACGTTAAAAAGAGCAACAGTGAAAGAATAATGACTGGGGATGAAATTACGACAATTATAGCGGCGTCCGTCACGTGGGAGATATCATATAGAAGAAGAATCTGTCGGTGCATTCAATGAAGAGCATAGAGAATGTGCTTCGGTCGCGAGTTTGGCAGATAAATATGATGTGAATATAAATGTTTGCTGTACGTGGAGAATAAGATAGGGGCAGAAATCAAATGTAGTGGAAGGGGCATAAAAGTGGAATGAAGCAGAGATATTTACAACCGATAGATATGGAACACCAGGCTGGGTTGAACGTTGAGAGTTGGAAGGATTGCACCTAGAGTTGATAATTCAAGCCACAGCAAGACTTGATTGAATCCAACTTAATTTAGATCAAGTTTATTTAAATTAATTTAAAATATTTTACCCTCTTTAAAAAGATTATATAATTAAATTTGATCCTAATTTTTTTTCAATCGAGTTTGAGCTGACTTGTTTAACTTGACTAAAATTTTCAATTATATATATATATATATATATATATAAAGCTGAAAATTCTAATGATTGAATTTATTTAAATCAAATTTAAAATATCATACCCTTTTCAAAATGTTTATATAGCCAAACCCAACTTTAATTTTTTTTTTCAGGTGGGCTTAGGCTTAGCCCAATTTACTAGTTCTAATATTTGCATTAAAGTGTTGTACGATAGAGGAGGCAATTAGTTAGCTGTTGTTGTGGTGTCCGTGGTGCTCACCCATCAAGGCTAAGAGCAATCAAGGCCTTCCATTTCAGCTCAAATTAATTCCTGCCGTCCATTTAAATTAATTTTTAAATATTTTAAATATTACATTTATTAAAATATAAGATACAAAAAACTTTAATATTAAATTTAGATTATTTAAAATATATTTAAATGGTTAACTTATAAAATTTATAAATTTTTTAATATTAAATTAAGTTATCTAAATTATATTTAAATTATTCAGAATCTATTTAAATAATTAAATTGTAAAATTATAAAAAAATTTAATATTAAATTAAAATGCTAGATTAAATCTATACTGGTCAAATTAATAATGAACAAATTTATTAAAATTTAAAATTTTTTATATTTTTTATTAATAAATATAATCTCAAAAATATTTAAAAATTACTTTAAATGAACAGCAGCTATTAATTTGGATTGAAATGAATAGCTAGGATTGCTCCTGACCATGAGCACGCAGTCCGAATGCAAATCCGTTGTTGTGGAGGAAGTGTCTCGTATATAAAATGATGCGAACATGTACTGCTGCGTTGGGCTGTCTCTTGATTATATCTATATCAATATCTCCATGTCTCGCCGTCGACTTCCACATTCATACCCTGGGGCTATATATTTAAAAATTCCAAGAGATGTGGTAGCGATGAATCATGAATGGGAATGGTTGGCTGTGCCACGTATCCATTCAGAGACATAACTATAATACTCTGGGTAACTATATTTGGGAGGGAGAAATGTTTGTTGGAAGAGCAAAAAAGCATCTTTAAAAGAGAGAGGCAGAAGGAAAAAGAGAAAATAAAACAAAGGTTTTGGCTTTGCTCAAAAAAAAAAAAAAACAAAGGTTTTAGCAGGAAGGCTGTTTGTAGATATAAAAAGGCTTATAAAGTTGGGTTATTGAAGATGACCAAGGTTCCATGGTGGAGTTTGCTTCTTCTCTTGTGTGGCAACATCTTCTGAACAGTGAAAGGGGTACAAGGTAGAAGGTACAAACATACTCATCAACGCATCATCAGCCATTTGATTAGTAACAATCAAACTGCTCTTTATGGGCCTTTTGTGCATCGCAACTCAGCGCTTTGCATGGAGAAAGACATGACACGCACAACCCTTGGCGCCTAGCGGCGTCATTTAGAGAGGAACAGCACATGAAATATTAATATGTTGGGCATAGGAAGGCACCATTGTTTATTTACAAAGATCCAAGCCCAGCATTAATGCTGCAAAGTGGAAAGTATCAAAACATCCTCAAAATAACAACTCTATAATCAAGTAGTAGCATACTACCATGAACATGAAGCAGCATGATTATGCTCAAAAAGGCGATTTGTCCAAAACTCGCAAAACATTCCTATAAATTCAATTGTAAGGTGTTATTGAGAATGATGATACCAAGCCTGTAGGCTGTACCTATCAAAACATCCCTTAAAATACAGAGTAACATTCTTAGAGATCATGATAACATTTCTTTATTGATATTACCATCAAGTTTAAAGACGTTATCATGACAATCTTTTCATGTCTAATTTTTTGATCTTGGGCCCTTGTTAATGATTTTTGTGATCGAGGGACTTCATTGCCATTAAGGTTCAATTTAGGTCATTCTAAGTAATTTTTCCAAATAATTATTGACCACGATTTATCAAATCTAACAGGACAATTGTAAGCAAGTCTTCCAAACAGTGTCTTATGAGACATCTAAAGCAAGTAATAATTTTCTTAAACATGTGCGTATAGTAATGGCATTAAAGCAGAAAATCAAATCAATCAAACCAGCCTCTAGATAAAATAAGGAAATGCTTGAGACAGAAACTTCTACAGCTGAGGAATCAAATATCGTTTTGAGCAGATGACATGGTAATGAGCACAATAGCTTCTAAATAGAAACACGTTCCATAGGAAAGACAGAATGAAACCAAATGTAAAATTTAAGATGTAAACCAATATATCATAAAAGAAATTTATCTAGTCTACATAACAAATATTGTCTGTAATCCTACTTTCTTTCATTTTACAGTTCAGTCTCCCAAGTAGCTCATGTCCAATTGTCCAATCGAGTTGTCTGTTCTTCAATATATAAGCTAAAGTAAAACTTGTCAAAGTACAAGGATTGCAGCCATTCTAGTTATCAACAAAAGAGAAATGAAAAGGGAACACAGCAAATATCCAGAAAAACCTTATACAACTTATTGTACATTACATGCCCATGAACAAAAGCTCTTGCGAGAATCTAGATTAGTCCAGTTGAAACAAAGCACTCCCCAACGAAGCATGTAGCTCAATATGAAAAGACTAATGATCTCTCCACCTAGGACTGGAGATAGGGAAAAAGCCTGAAGGAGACAAAGGAAATGACAGGCCTGGAGAAGGTGGAGGTTGAGGCCCCGGGCCTAAAATCCCAGGTTGTACCATTGGTGAGAATGGAAAGTTGGGTGTAAGAGGAGATGGAAACGGCATTCCAGGTGATAAAAGTGGATATGGTGACCGTGGGGATAGCATATTCAAGAAACCAGTAGGGGATGACAAGAGGAACTGGGAGGTTGGAGAAGGTAAAGGCGGAGGACCATTTGGTTGTTGGGAAGGGATATTTGGCATAGGTGGATTAGCAGCATTCATGGGTGGAATAGGACCATTTAATCGAGGAGAAGGAAGCATAGGCATGGAAGGATTAGGAAGTAAAGCAGATGGTGGTGGTCGGGGCTGAAAATTGCCTGGCCCTTGTAACTGTGGGTTTGGGTGTGGTTGAGGTTGAGCTTGGCCTCCCTTCGGACTTGGATCCAACATTGAACTTTGAAGGTAGCGCATGTAAGCCGAGATGGGTGACTCAGTTGGATTAGACCAACTCATGTCCCCTGGATTTAATGGATGCAAGGGAGTTGGTGATGGTTGCCCTAATTGAGCAGGCCTAGGCAAGCTATTATTATAAGGAACAGGGGGAGGGGCTGCAGGGACTGGCATTGGTGGAGGCATGGGGTGCCTGTTGATGGGTGTCAATGGGGGCGGTCTTATTTTCTGTAATCGGTTGCTCTGTGGTTTTGGTGGATGGTGAGGAGGTCTCGGAGGAGGATCCTGTGAGTGTGAAGGCGATCCAGTAAGCTGCTGGACAATGTCCCGGAAATCGTTCTTGCTTATGTTGTAGACCTGAGGCTGAGGCTGTTGCCTAGAAGCATTATTACCAAAATTGGGCTGGTGTAGTGGGCTCTTCCTTATATTCTTTCCCATTTTGTTCACACCCAAACTATCACTTTGCCTGTTTTTAGAATTATCCATTTGTACACAAAACTCACACTTGCACCAACAAGGAAATGCTACTTGTTTTTTAGTTCCCCTAAGTCAAACCAATGTATAAACTTCGGATGCCCCAGGGTTCTAAAATCAGAGCCCAAACACCCACAACAATCAATATCTTTCGAAGCAACCAAAAGAACCGCAGAACTTCAAACACTGAACACTCAGTCCAGAAAACTAAAGCCCTAAGCAAAGCATTCCTGAATTCAATCTAAGGTTTTCTGATTTCAATTTCAAATCCGCTTTTGCCCTTTACCACAGCTACACGCAACGTACAGATCCATCCAACCAACAGCTACAAAATTAACCCAAGATCCGAGGGTAGAAGCAGAGAACATACCCGTATTCAAGCTTAACTCAATCCAAAAGAACTGACAAGGCAGAAGGAAAACCCTTCAGAGATCTATCGAATACCCAACACGATTCCAAGCAAAGCAAAAACCGGAATTCCCTGCAGCGAGAAGATAAAACGTGAAACGAATCAACCTCGGCGCAGAACCAAAGAGTTGAGAAGAGACGATTCAAGCGGGGGCAACTGGATCTCGCATATTGTAGAAGCAAGAGTGAGAGGAGAAAACCCTAAAGTGGTGAAGACAACAAGCTGAGAATTGGTCAAAGGAGAGAAATGATTGAAAATGGAAAATGGCTTTAGGTATTTAGGACTTAGGAGGTGGCTATGAGGGGTCCATGGGGTAGGACTAGGGAAGAAACTATCGGTAGTGCGTCCAATACAAACAGCTCCTTTACTAAGCTTTGGTGTGGAAGCAAATACGGATTCGAATTAAAATTGCGAGCCTGTCACGCCTCAAGTCAAACATAAACAGAGCAGAATCATCATTCCACGTTGCTTCTACGTTAATATTATATCATTTCCACAAACGGACTGCTATTTTTTTATGGAATGATCTGAATCATTCGTCTTTAACAGTTAGAATCAGAGTGTCAGTCGGCTTGCTTTCTCGGAAGAGTTCGGGTCCGAAGTCGCCACTTCAAATTTTGGGAGTCCTTGTTTTTGTTTTTGGTAAAAGGACTTGGTCCTTTGTTTCTAGAAGATGACAGAGTCCAACTTTGGACCCTAATTCCATATTGGGCCACACCAAATACGGACTTGGGTCAGCGCCTTATTATTACTATTTAATTTAAAGAAATAAGACCGGCATTGCTCCGTAAAGAAAAAATTTTGTGGGGTGAGAGAGGCTCGAACTCTCGACCTCAGGATCACTCAGAAGCTATGAGACCTACGCGCTAGCCAACTGCGCCACCACCCCGAGGTTGTGTTTTGGATGTCTAATACCTAAATAAAGTTCTTGCTCGTCTTTCGTCGAGTCTGTTTCACAATTTCATTGGTTTCAGGTGTCTCTCTTTTGCAAGATATGTTCGTGGCAAGGAAAAAAAAAAAAAAAACGGTCTGCGGAACGATCATTTTATTGTTCACGAATGACGAGGTTAAGATCTTTTAGATGCCTCTGGGAGAAGCTAGCTACTTCAAAAGAGTTTACATTGATCCTTGCATGGAGCTTTAACTGAACATACAGTTTTAAGGACGATTGTGTCTTTGTTGTGTGATTTGCATTGTCATCAAATTAAAGCGCGGTAGATATATACCATCTATTTTAAAATTTAAATAATTTGAATCCTGCATTTCTTCTTTCCCAACTTTCAGTTTCTGGTAATCGTGATTAAGTAACCTTAGACAGCAAATCACTTGCAGCTCCATTACTGGGATAAGTAAGTATTATCCATCCAGTGTATTCGTAGCTAAGCACTATATATCCATTGATTAGTTTCAATTCCCACATCGATCTACATTATATTATTTCTGCCAAACACACACGACGCATTAAGAGCGTTCTAATTGATGATTCGCAGTAGAGTAATCATAAAGCAATTCATTGACGAACAATTTTACGAAAGATAAATAAAAGAATCTAATGGACATAAATTAAAATGATGGGGAAAAAATGGCGGGTGCCTTAATAATATGCACCAGGCTCTCTAGAATATCAGGTTATAATGAAAACCCCATTCCCTTCTGCTCTGATACAAATAAATAAATCCCTATAACCTTAATTCAATCTACACTTTCCCCATCCAATATTCCACCACGTACCATCTGCTTCATCATCAACCCCAAGCAATCAGACATAGATCATGTACACAGCTCTGAAAAAGCTCATGAATAATGTGAGGAAATATATGACTTTCATTTCTGTTTTCTCTACTATCGTCTGAATAATGTGGAGCTAGCAGAAATAATGAATGATCCATTATATACCTCAATGGATTTCCACCCTATTGTCCAGATATTGAGAAGTCAATTCCTCAAAACTCCAGTTTCTTCTCACCCCGCAGCTCCGGACTAACCTCGGCTCCGGGCTGCCGGGAAAGCTGACATCGCTGGCGCTATGAATCCGGCGATGATCGGCCTTGATCTTGGCCAAAGGACCTTTAGTCTTCTTTTGCTGATCATGGCATTGCTGGCGGCTGTCGTCCGGCAAAACCATTGCCCCGGACCAGCTTCTCGCGACCAAGGCTCGCAGTTTGGCGGCGCGTTCATGTAGATTATGCTCCCTGTAGGAGTCTGTCCTTGGGATTAGGGTGCATGCCAAACAATTGAGATTCATGATGGTGAGATGATGAAGACAACGGGGTTGCGTGAATCCCAATAGCAATCACCAAACCTAAATCCCAGCTCCTGTATTAGAGCGTGGAAGATGGTTATGATGAGAAGGTTGGTGGAAGAAGCTAGCTAGGCGATGCTTGGGATTCAGGTTTTGGGTTGAATGAGTTATATAAATTAAATGTTAGGTTTGGAATACACAAGACATGAAGACGTGTTGCTAATTTTAGTTTAGGATAGCTGATTAAGAATAACTAATATTGCTATCTTTTACCATGAATTTCTGACCCATATAATCAAAGTTTAGCTGCTGGTTTCTAAATTTGGGTGATGAATCATATTTTTAATGGATTATCCTTTAAATTGCTGTCCATCCGAATGTGTATGTGATCTTTGTCTCCTGATTTCTTTTCTCTTTTCAAACTCTTGCCAACTATACCTACCCTAAACATCGTCACTTCCTGCAATTAAGGGATTTTCTTTGCTGTCAAGTAGACAAAACAAAAAACAATAACAACGAAGACGTTTATCGCTCTCCATTGACTCCTTCCGTACTTGAAGTTGTAGACTGTGGAGTCTTTGTGCTGCCTCTATACATGTGTGTTTCATCAGCTTTTATAACATGTAGGAACGAAGCTTTAGTACGTGACTGCATCATCAATAAATCAACAAGTTTTAATCACCTACCTATATAAAATAGAATAGGAAGATTGCTTAGAAGTTATGTCCACAACCTACTTTAATTAAGCAACGTAGTTCGCTATATATCGCTATATAATTAAGTCATGATAGCTAGGTAACCGTAAATAGTCTCTACGTACATAACTTCTATCATGCCCCATGCATCCATGATATTTATACAATTTAGTCATTCCGTGTATCAATGCCTGACCAACCAACCAACCAACCAATTATATAATTCAAGCAAAACAGATTTAATCAAAAGTCAAAGAGTCAAGACCATCCAAATTAAAGCACATTTTTCATTGTGTGAGAGAATGTACGGTTGGTTTCAAAAATCAATGCATGACGGCATGAGAGACCAATATATGTCGTTTCTGAACTATTCATTTGCGTGCATGCAACAAAATCCTCTCCGTCTTATTCATTTAAGTGTTCTTCCAGTAACATTCTGAATTCATATATTTAAAGATAACATTATGCAGGAGAGTGTAATTACCTATAAATTGTGTTTATGTATGCCTTTTAATTAAAACAGAAGATGAAGATTAATAAGAGTCCTCCTTAAAAGGAGATTCGGCAAACTACATATGATTTAGAATTTAAAAATATGGGAGGTCCCGCATACGTTCCTCTGTGAGTACTGTATTTGATTTCAGCATAGCAAAGATAACATATGAAGTATATGATTTTGCTCCTTTTTTCCTAAAAATGGATGCACACGTGTGTGTGTGAGAGAGAGAGAGAGATTAAGAACATTGAATTTCGCCGAGTGATGCTGTGAAATTCAAAGCATGCTTATGTGCAACAAATTAAGAATCTCATGTAGGGATGGATTCACCATGTGTTTCAAGTGTTGATGCATGAACAAGACTTATTTTGTGGACCTACTGTGATTGAATTTCTGAGATGCTTTTTCATGTGTTTCAAGTGTTGATGCTTTTTCAAGTGCATGTCTCCAGTCAGCACTCAGCATCCAGCAGTATTCCAGGTAAGAAACTTGAGATAATGACCAAGAGGTCCCATGGGAATCAATTAATTCAATTTGCAAGTTTAACTCTCAATTTTTCTATTTCATTGTAATAAATTTACAACTTGTATTTCAAATTTTAACAAAGAAAAAAATTTATTTATTTTTCAACCATGTTAAAATTTAGAAAACAAGTTGCAAATTCTTCACAATAAAATTACAATAATGAGAGACAAACTTATAAATTCTTAAAGTTTGGCATTTGAAACTTAATTTAAATTAATTAATCATTTTGAGACTTATATGTCATTCTTCCAAGAAACTTCATTTTAATGATTACAAGTTTTGAATTGTCATGCAAGTTGAGATGTGCGTGCACTTAAGCGCATGAAGTGTGTATATTAATATTTTAATTTGTTATTATGTGTGGATTCAAATTCTCTCAAGTATATATCTCAAGTGAAGTTTTCTTTCTCTTAATATTTTTCTCATTTTATTATTTTTATAAAATATAAAATTTTCTCTTTGTTCTAAAAAATGAAACTCCAAAAAAACTTATACATCTCAACTTCAGATGATTTAAAGCCTATTATAAGATCTAAGAGATTGGACACCACTCACCTGCAATGATGATAGTGTAATCCATATATATGACATATATTCTGGGGTAAAGGTGCTTGTTTGCTTTAAAATATTTTTCAAGAAGCACCTAATATTCTAATACTATGTTTGGATGCATATGAATTTAGATTTAAATTTGAATCAAATCTATTGTTTGGGTAATTAAAAAATGTATGGATTTGGATTATCCTACCTCAATTTTTTTGTAATTTGAAATCTTTTCTACACTCTATTATTTCAAATCCTACATCAATCTCTTTAGTAATTTTATTAAATCACCAGTGGTGACAGGATCGAACCATAACTAATAGGAACTAAAGTACAGGCAATGATTGGGGCCAAATGACATTGTGCCATCGACACTGACCTAGATCGAATGGCTGCCATCTACTGGGACTAAGCTATAATGTTAATGATGACCAGACAACTACCTACTATCAAGATTAGATTATCCACGATTTAATCTTGGTCATAGTCACCGATCTTAGTCACGATGGGAGTTAGTCGTCTGTAACATCCTCGATTTCTAGACCAAATTACATAAGCCCAATTAGATTAATTAAGTGTGTTAGTGAGGTGTGTGGCTAGAGAGGCCTAACGGGTGTCTTTAGTTTAAATTTCAGCCCTAAACACATGTCCGAAAGAGAATTGGGTCACTCGGGAATGAAAGAGAAAGAAATTCTGAAAAAGAAGATTATGTGCCATGTGCCGTGGCTTGTGGATGAGCCACCACAACGCATGTGTGGCAACATGCCTAGGAGAGGCTTTTTGTGTCATGCGCCGCTACATGGTCACATTTCTGCTATCATAAGTCGTAAAATGAAGTAGAAAATAGAGGAAAAACAAAGGAAAATTAGAGAGAGAGAGAGAAGAGCAGTGCTAGGGCTTAGGAAATATGAGTATTAAGAGTATTTTGAAACTCCTAAACATCAAGGATAAGCTTCCTATACTTAAATCTTTCTCTCTTCTTTCATTTTCTTGATGGTAGAAGTTAGAGTTTAGTTGATAATAGTGATTTTCAATCCATAAAGGTTATGGTTCTAAATTCCTTGACTTAAATTGAGTTGATAGAAGCAGATTAAGCTAAAAAAACTTGGTATTAATGATTATATAAGGATTGGTGGTTGAGGAGCATTTAGTGTCCGAAAATCCTCATAAATATGGTGGTTGGGAAAAATGTGATTCCACTAATGACCATTAAAGGGCTCAATAATATTAGTAAGGGTTAAAGGAAGCTAAAAAATCCTATAGATACTTTTACATGAGTTAAGAATAAATCTTGAGTATTAAGAAATGTTGAAGTATTAGTAAAAATTAGCTCAAATATAGATATTAATTATTTGCATTATAAATGCTTGTAAAGTAACTACCATTGGCACCATTCAAGCTTTTTGAAAGCTTTAAGAGTGAGTAGTCGATAGGTGAAACCTTTGACTTCTCAAAGATTTGAGGTAACCGGAGGAATTCTAACTTAAACTTTTGTGTGTTTATTAGTTATTGATTGATAAATAATGATTGAATTACGTGAAATTAATTGAAATGCAAATGTGACTTAGTTTTCTTGGAAAAGCCCACTATAAAGTAGAGATTTAATATAGTTCAATTATTTTAAAAAATTATGAAGTTCAATGATTGTCAAAGTGTAGGTACCATGATTATGAAAATAGGAGTTCAATGATCTGAGTAATAGAAGTCCAATGATTTTGAAATGTTTGGAGTTTAATGATGTTAAAATGTTTGGAGTTCAATGACTTGTTTGAATTGAAGTTCAACGACTTTTTTGAATTGGAGTTCAATAACTTGTGTAATTTAGAGTTTGATAAAAATTTATTTAAGAAGTTTAATGATTTGTAAAATGGTAGAGTTCAATAAAATTGATTGTGTAAAGTGCTATGAATTCAACTAAATGTGAATTTTGCTTGAATACGCATTGCATGATCTTAAAATGTAGGAGTTCGCCTAGGAAGAGGATTAAAGAATTAAATCCACATAGTAGAGCTCCCATTCGAGTGATGGCTTGCCCAAATCGATCATATTCATATTGTCCTACTTGTTTAGTGAGGAACTATCCCATTGGTTACACGAGGGACTCGAACCTAGCTAGCTATCCACTAGTTCAATGAAGAAGCTAGTTTAGAGTATATGACACCCTATAGTGTGAGAAACGGAGAAACTATGTTCCATAAGTGAATTGGGTACGCCTTGATCGGGTAATTCCCTCACAAATATTTAGGCTAGGGAAGTCATAGATTATAGATTATCCTATTGTGTTGTGGCCTACAATTTTATGTCAGAAAAATAAAAAGGATATAAGAGAAGTGTGATTATGCATATAGTGAATAAGGACACATGATTATCTGTATTGTGACCCTAATGAGAAAATTTATGAATTGAGTCTAAATCACCCCTAAGTATTCAGGATTGTATAGTGTGATAAACTTTATGGGATATGAAAATTATTTTTCAAGTATGTGCTATTATACTTGAAAGTATATATATATATATATATATATATATTCTCAAATATTCTATATGGTTTGAAGAATTATTTATATATGCCATTTGTATTTAAACTGATTGACATGCATTAGCATGGGTTAGTTAGATCTTAATTACTGAGTAATTGCACTCATCCTACTATCTTCAACATTACAGGAAATAGCTCTAGAGGATAGAGAAGAGGAAGGCTTCCTGAGGCTTAGGATTGGATCCTATTTAGTATGCCTTTTCATTTTTAAGTCATTATATGTATTTGACAATTTAAATTGCCAACTAAGTTTTATCCATTTTTTATTCTTACTTGTATTATGTGTTTGTGAGTTGTAATTGTATTTTGGGCTCTAGGAAGTGAGTTGATGATATA